AGTAATGTTCCACTCTGGTATGTTGTTTACCACTTCCAGATTATAGGTGTAGCAAATATTTTCCTAATGAAATAATCACGAACTTGGCATTCTCCTGCTGACATAACACAGCCAGGCTCTGCGGGGCTCTCCATCCGAATCTTCTAGTGGAACTGCAGGGTCCCACCTCCACCGCACGCCCTCCGATGTCCTTTGGGTCCGTTTTGAATTGTTCCCTTTGTGTTCTCTCAAAATGTCAGGGCTTTCGGTGCTACTGGCAATCTTCAGTCTTTTTCATAATAACAGAGTTTTGAAATGTCAGCGTTCTGTTTCCGTGTGCGTGTTGAAACCCGTGGGTGTCTCCTGGGCGGCTGCCCTGTCGCCGCTCCGCTCAAGTAGTGTTCCCCTAGTGAAAATATCCAGGAGAGACGCTCATCTCCAGAATCCCTTCTAGAAACCTGAAACTTGACAGGCTGCCTTTGTCCAGCTCCTTTTGAAGTTAACTTGGGTGGCAGAATTGTGCAGGCCTCACGATTTCTCGAGGGGACAGAAACACCTGCAGCGACAGATAATTACAGCGCCTGCCATGCATCTTGCCGTGCATTTCCTGTTTGCTGGCTGCTTTCGGGATGAATCATATTTGCTTGCACGGTGACAACTATTTCTTTACCCTGTTCCTGATGAAACTTTGCCATACCTGGGGCCCCTGGGGGAGGCTGGTTCTTCCCTCAGCAGCCCACGTTCAGCCCCTGGAATCACGGCAGCGGAAAGGGCTTTCTTCGTGGCACACAGGAAATAATGGCCCATCCCTCGTCCCTCGGAGTCTCGACTGTCTCCCTGGAAAGCGCTTTAAAGCCACCTGCCTCACCTCGCGGCACGTTCACCCTTGCCTTTGCTTGCGAGCCCAGCCCCTCTCTGGGTGGGACTCCAGCGCAGCCTTGAAGGGTGGACCGCAAATCCACGCGGCGCCGACACGCACTGGACCTGTGTTCACTTGCCGGTCACCCAGCTCTTGAGGGTGAGAGCCTGTCCACACGTGACAGGGTTCAAATGAAAGGGAAGGCCTTAAGTGAGTTGAATTAAGTAATCTCTAATAGGGAAGAGCCAACTGCTTGATGATTCTGGGAATCTACTTGAGAAACTCATGGGGGGGGTGTCCTTTTACAAAACGGGGAAATTAGACACTTCAGAGAGGAGGAAAGCTGCCTAGGAGAGACACTGGTTACAAATTTAGTCTTTGATATGAAATACTGCTACTGAGTCATCGACAATAAACCCCTTCCAAGATTATAAGGGGATAAATTCTCCCATGCTGTTATCTAGCACCTTTATGGTTTCATTTTTTTTTTTTTTTACATTTAAGTTGTTGATCCATTTAGAGTTTATCCTGGTAGCACGCATCAGTCCAACTTCAATTTGTTCTAGATGGCTATTCAGTTGTTTTCATGCCATTTACTGACCAGTATATTGTTTTTCTGTTTTGAGAGGACACCTCTAGCATTTACTAAATTCCCAGATACCTTTGGGTCTATTTCTGTACTTCCAATTCTTTTCCATTGGTCTATTCATGGGCCAAGGCCACAGTTAGAATGATTGGGGTTATATAAATGTTTTAATTTCTGGAAGAATTTCTCCCATTAATCTTCTTTTGAAGAGTTTTCCTAGCTGTGCTTATTTCTCCATATGAATCTAGAATCAACATGTCTAGGTTAAGAAAAGACACCAAAACTCTTGATATTCTTATTGGAACCCTATTAAATTTATATAACTTAGAAACAATGGAGGGGCCCCTGGAGGGCGCTCAGTCAGTTGAGTGTCTGACTCGATCTCAGCTCAGATTTTTTTTTTTTAAGATTTTATTTGTCAGAGAGAGAGAGCACAAGCAGGGGATGCGGAAGGCAGAGGGAGAGGCAGGCTCCCCGTGGAGCAAGGAACCTGATGCGGGACTCGATCCCAGGACCCCGAGATCATGACCTGAGCCGAAGGCAGAAGCTTAACTGATTGAGCCACCCAGGCATCCCTCAGCTCAGGTCCTGATCTCAGGGTCATTTGAGTTCAAGCCCCATGTTGGGTTCCACACTGGGTGTGGAGCCTACCTTAAAAAAAAAAAACTATTAGGGGCGCCTGGGTGGCTCAGTCGTTAAGCGTCTGCCTTCGGCTCAGGTCATGCTCCCAGGGTCCTGGGGTCGAGCCCCACATCGGGCCCCCTGCTCAGCGGGGAGCCTGCTTCTCCCTCCCCCGCTCCCCCTGCTTGTGTTCCCTCTCTCGCTGTGTCTCTCTCTGTCAAATAAATAAAATCTTTAAAAAAAAAAACTATTAAAAAAGAAACAAGGGAAATTTTAATGATGTCAAGGCTGTTATGTCCAAGAACAGTAAGATGTCTTTCCATTTGCTCAAGTCTAGTTTTCTGTTTACCAAAAGTGTCTTATAGTTTCCCTCATAAAAAATTTTGAACTTTAAATTTAAACCTAGGGTTTTTGAATTTTAACTTTTTTGCTACCACAAATGGATTATCCTTCAAACTGGTGTCTGTGTGTATGTATGTAAATATGATCTGTAACCTTGGAAGGATCTGGGGTTTTCTAGGGTTCAAAATCCAGAAGTCATCAAAGATTCATAAATTCGACTACCCCCAGATTAAGTTTTCCATGGTAAACATACCACAAGCAGAGTCAAGAGAAAAATGAGAAGCTAGAAGGAAGTCTTTGCAACTCATTATCACAAAATGCTCCTACAAGCCAAGAAGAAAACAACCCACCCACCAGAGAGCAGGGGGTGGGGGAACAGAGGATATGAACAGATAGCTCTATGAAGAGGTGGCCCACCTCACTTTGGAGTTAATAAAGAAAGTACGCTGAGATGCCACTTCTCATCCATCAGATGAGCGAAACACATGGCTGCTGGGACGGTGGGAGAACAGACACTTCTCGGGCAGTGCTGGTAAAACTGGTCAGGAGGGAACTGGCTAAGTGAATTATGCTACACGCCACACAAGAAAACACTCGGCAGCTATTAGGAAAAAGAATGAGGATCCTCTTTAGCTACTGATCTAGAAAATTCTCCTGGATATAGTGTCAAGTGAAAACAAGCTAGGTGTTTGCAGCGATGTGGATGGAACTGGAGGGTATGATGCTAAGCGAAATAAGTCCATCAGAGAAAGACAAGTATCATATGATCTCACTGATATGAGGAATTTGAGAAACAAGACAGAGGATCCTAGGGGAAGAGAGGAAAAAATGAAACAAGATGAAACCAGAGAGGGAGACAAACCACAAGAGACTCTTAATCACAGGACACAAAACTGAGGGTTGCTGGAGGGGAGGGGGGTGGGGGGATGGGGTAACTGGGGGATGGGCATTAAAGAGGGCACGGGAGGTAATGAGCACTGGGTGTTACGTAAGACTGATGAATCACTGACCTCTACCTGAAACCAATAATATATTATATGTTAATTAAAAAAAAGAAAAAGCTGGGTACAGTATAGTATACAGAACAAGCTACCATTTACATATAAAACCATAAAAATGAAAATATGTATTTAGATAAAGAAACAATGGAACCATATTTAAACCAACAACAGCGGTCACTTGAAAGGACCTGAGTGGACAGGGAAGGCAAACAGTGATTTTTCTACTGTACACCTTTTTATTTTTTAAAAAAGTCATCTCTACACCCAACGTGGGGCTCAAACTCAGGCGCCCCAGTATACCTTTTTATAGTTGACTTTGGAAGCACGTGACTATTACCTATTCAAAAATTTAAACAAATTAATTCCCCTGGTAAATTAAGACACTTAGACATTTTAGCTCATATATTTCACTTCTTATTTTTCCTGTTTAACTCAGGGATAGGAGACAGCTCTAGGAAACAGGAGACTAAAACGGAGTTCCTCAGAGGTAACCAGAATAAAACGTGTACGTCAGTGTGAAACTCAGGCCTCCATTTTCATTTATTTTTTTAAAGTAATTTGTCCTTTACAATGTGTCATCTCATACACACGCATGCGCGTGCACTCACACATATGCACGCATGCACACGCACACATACACAGAGGACTTGAAAGGGACAGAGAAACAAGAATAGCCTCCAAACATAATTTTTTTTTACAAAGTTTAAAATAGATTACATTTCTGTGCTTTTCAGTCACTACATAATGTACAGACATGATCCATTTAATGATTTATCTTTCCCAAATTGTTAAACAATGAGGATTTTCTATTAAAGAGTATATGTAAAAGCTTTCACTTTAGAAGCAAAGTACTATTTCCTGCAAAAACCAACCTCAGGCATACATTTTGTGGTTATGTATATTCCTTGGGAAGACTACAGTAGCAGTGCATAAGTTCATTCTATAAAAAGATCTGAAAGATGATTTTCAAGAGACTCAATGCATTGTGCTCTCAGATAAAAATCCTAAGTCAAAAGATCAGTTATTATGACAATAACAGTTAAAACTGCATATATATGTTAAAGATCAGACGAAGCTATAAAGAAATGTAAATATTTGTGCTTTGGGGGCTTTTTTTTTGGTAAAGTTGTTTTAATAAATAGAAACTTAAAAAAATGTCTCAGTGACGGATATAAAATAGACACATATCGAGGATTTCCTATACTTGGCTTAGAGTTTAAAGGTGAAAAACATCTCTACATACAACACCCGGCATCTGGTAATCCCAGTCTGGGCTAGTTGCTGACAGTCAGGCAAGGGGTTAGGAAGAAATGATAAAGTGATTTTTCTCCTCCTATTAACATAAAGCATGGCCCAGAGGTAAAGCCAGGGTGACCCAAATAACTAAACAAATGCGACCTTCCTTTCAAATTCTTAGACCAAACAGAGAAGTCATGCTACTTCTAGGAGTGTTCAAGAAAACCCCAGAACTACCTATCCTGTAGTTCACCATATGAATTAAATATGTCTGGTCTTCTGGGAGATCCCAGGGCACGATAGGCATGATCCCTCCATACTTTAGGCTTTTTCTTCCTTTTTTTTTTTTTTTTTTTTTTTTTTACCCTCCACGCATTAACTGTAACACTTATTTTTAAAAACACCATGGCAACTGCTTATAATGACAGAGGACAAGGTATCATTTACATAGTAACATTGCTGTTTGTAGTTAGGGAAATAAATGTCATTTCATGTTTAGGCTGGTCAGTTTGCTCTTTCAGGCCTTTCACTTGGAAGGACATATGACCTTAAGAATCAAAGTGAATTAGAAAAAAAAAATGAGAAAATAGATGTTTTAGTTAAAGTCTTTTGCATAACAGCTTTAGATATAAAAAGAATTTCTTCAAATAATTTCCTAGGCGTCGCTCAGAAGCATCCTTGCTGTCTGTAACATAATGTATTGCAGTCTTTCCAATAAAATTATAGAGTAATTTAAAATATATATTATACTTTTGCAATTACTGTAAATCATTCAATAGTTTGTAGCATGTTAATGGAGTGAGAGATAAAAGGCAGTCCACATTCATATTTGCGAGATAAATTTACTTCAGAAGTCAACTGAATTCCTTGCTCATGTTCTAAGTATAGCCACTGTGATGAGACCTGAAAGAAAAAAATTGGAGAACAGTTAAAGCCATGCATTTTACAAAGTCTTCCATTCAATAAGCCATTGTTTAGATCTCAAGGAGCAAATAAAACACAGCACATAGACAGGCACTCTACCAAGAATCCAAAGTCAGTTTGAATTTAGTTGATATTATACAGAAGAAATCCAATTTACAGCAATGGGCAGTCACTGGATAGATTTAATTAAATCACTAATGTCTGGCCATAGCTAATTTTTTAACTATTAAATATCCCTCCCACTTTATCCAGTCCCATTAGCTATAAGAACAGCAGACGTGGCATTTTAAAGTGTCAGTAAAGCCAGCCAACTTCATCAACAAAAACATGTCGAGCCTATTTGTATCCCAGGACTCTAGGACCACAAAGACACAGAAGCATAGTATTCCTGCTGGGCTTATCTCTTTTGAAGAGACTCCATACATGAAACCATAAAAATTTAATAATGTAAGAATATGCTCGGTCCTAAATACGTGGTAAAAAAAAAAGAAAAAAAAAAGTGGTGAGTGATAAAGTACAGAGAGGGGAGAACAATCCCGTAGGACCAGGGCAGGTCAGAAAAGATGCCCCAAAGGTAAAGCTGAAAGAAGCCTAAGAGATGGACAGGAATGATAAGGAACAAGAAGATCAGCAGGCATTTCAGGTGCAAGGATGGCAAAGTGGGGACAAGGGGGCTGACCAGACTCCTCGATGAGCTTTTCGGGACTAACCTCACAGGCTGTGATCAAGGACTTAGGCAATCAGCTGGACGAGACTGGCTCAAAGAGGTCTCAGGGCGGAGAGCCTCGGAGGCCCAACTATGGAGTCCTACTTCTTTCTGTGGGCTCTGGGGAGTCCTTGATGGCTCCCGGGTAGGGAGTGGTGGGGGTGAAACCAAACCAGAATGGAAATCCATCTGACAGCAATGCAATGGGGCATTTGGCGGTTAAAATAACATGTTGGGGGGGGGGGCGGGGATAGGAAGAGAAGGGACACAGACAGAAGGCAGGAAGCCAAACTGAGAAGACAATTTTGAAACTTAAAGGGAGCACAGGGGCGCCTGGGTGTGGCTCAGTCGGTGAAGCGTCTGCCTTCGGCTCAGGCCGTGATCCCGGGGTCCTGGGATCGAGGCCCGCATCGCGCTCCCTGCTCGGCGGGAAGCCTGCTTCTCCCTCTCCCTCTGCCCGTCCCCCCTGCTCGTGCGCGCTCTCTGTCAAATAAATAAGATCTTTAAAAAAATAAAGATCAAAAAAGAGAGCATACCAAGTAGTACTGAGAGAGTACTGAAGAGTTGGCCTCTCGGAAGAGGTGACAGGAGACTATGAAGACAGTCGTGACTGGATCCCTAATCCCTGACACAAGGCAGGGACTGAGGAACTGTTTGTTCAGTTAAACTAATTACAAGATTTCAAGCCAGGATGACTGAAAGAATGATTTAACAGGAAATCTGGGAACTGGTTTAAAGAGAAAGGTTCACAGTGTTAAACAAGGCTGCATTGTTCACCTTTATCACTGTATGCACTTTGTCTAAGGGTTTCCCCGGGATCAGTTCCTAGAAGTAGAAATGCTGGATGGGGCAATATACACATCTTACATTTTAGACCTGTTTTATACCATCGCAAGTCAGCAAAATGAAAACAACTGAATATAGCATTAGGTGCTGGATCAATCAGCTACAAAGAACTCATCGTCGGGGCACCTGGCTAGCTTAGTCAGTAAAGCATGGGACTCTCGATCTTGGGGTCATGAGTTTGAGCCCCCACGCGTGTAAAGAGGACTTACGTAAACTTAAAAAGGAAAAAAAAAAAAAAGAACGAAATGTAAGCCAAAACATTAAATCTTAAAATGCACTTTTCCTCAACACATGCTTTTGAAGCAATCTTACCTGTTTTTCTATCAAAAAAAAAAAAAAAATTAAAGCAGCACCAGCACCATGGCCCCTTACACATCTAAGGCCACCACCACCACCTCCGAACACACACACACCCCACGCGCAGCTTTGGAGCACTTACCTAAGATATAAGCGGCCACTAACTTCTGATTCACACTTAAGTGGAGGTAGAGGGGCACCAGCGATCCCGCATCCCCCAGTGTGGGAAGCATCAAAGCTGCAATGCACACCACTCCCAGGAAGACAGTTAGGAAGCTAGGTCCCGAGGACACAGCTCTGTTCTCTGTAAAAAGACAACAATTCCTGAGCTTGCTTCTAAAAATGCCTAAGACCAAAGTTCATTCGCACAGACAGTCTACCACTCACCAGGATGCTGGTTTTGTTTTACTTCTCTCTTTGCCCATCATTTCCATGCCATAGGGACGTATCTGCTGGACTTATCTGGAAGCCCATAATGTCTCTCAGTCATTACAGAAATGGAATGTTGAAATGGCATTGTGAGGTAGTAAGTTCCTACTGAAAGGTCACCATCCTTACCCACCCCCGCCTCACCCTAATGAGTAGAAAGTGGTCAAGCATGCATCGTCTGTATGTGTTTATAAAATATACCAAGAGAATTTTTAAAGAATGGGCTAGAAATAGAAATTGAAGTTCTGATATTTTCTTCCTGTACCCCAATGGATGGCTTGTGTCTCTTACTCCATTCTGGAGCCTACTGCCTTCTGAGAGTATCTTAGGTGGACAGGTTTGGTCCTCGTAACTGTAGCATCCTGCTACCATTTCTGAAAACAGGAAAAGCAGCAGCAAAGCACTACATGAGTGTTTTAAAGCTACCTGTGGGGGCGCCTGGGGGGGCTCAGCTCAAGTCGGTGAAGCGTCTACCTTTGGCTCAGGTCATGATCCCGGGGCCCTAGGATCGAACCCCGCGTCGGGCTCCCTGCTCAGCAGGCAGTCTGCTTCTGCTCCTCCCTCTCCCTCTCTCAATAAAATCTTTAAAAAAAGCTACCTGTGAAAATTCTTGTCCTCTGCTCTATCCCATTTACAGCAAAGGAAGCAGAAACAGTACCTAGCAAGTATTATGCTACATGAAATAAATCAGTCACAGCAGGACAAATACTGCATGATTGCACTTACATGAGGTATCTAAAACACAGTCCAACTCAGAATCAGAGAGTAGAACGGTGGTACCTAGGGATTGGGGGTGTGTTTAAAATGGGAGTTACTGGGATGCCTGGGGGGCTCAGTCAGTTAAGCATCTGCCTTCAGCTCGGGTCATGATCCCGGGGTCCCGGGATCGAGCCCCACGTCGGGCTCCCTGCTCAGCGGGGAGCCTGCTTCTCCCTCTGCCTCTGCCCCGCTCCTCCCTGCTCATGTTCTCTCTCTCTCAAATAACTGGAATCTTAAAAAAATAAAATAAAATCTTTCAAAAAAAATAAATGGGAGTTACTAATCATGGGCCTAATGTCTCAATTAAGCAAGATGAGTAAGTTCTAGAGCTCTACTGTACAACACTGTGCCTACAGTGAACAATACTGTATTGTACACTTAAACATTTGTGAGTTAAGTGTTCTTACTACAATAAAAGAAAATCTAAAAAACATTAGCAGTGCTTTGCTGTATGTGTGCAATATTCATACCCATATTTTTAAGAAACCTGGTAACAGCATATTCTGTCATAGAGCTTTTCCCACCACCCTTCTTTCATTAAAAGGAATAGCCAACAGCAACACAATCTTGTGTTTTATTAATGAAATAACACTGTTCATTTTATTATTAAATGCAGCTTTTCTAAATTATTAATACCTTAGCTGTTGTGCGAAGTTTAATTGAGCCTTGCCAAAGCCAGATAGGTGAAAACAAATTCAAATTTTATAGTGATTATTGCTTGAGACGAAACAACAGCATAAATACCTAAAAACAAGTCTTATTTTTAGTTAGTAAATGAAGTATCTTTGTATTTATATTTGCTGCAGAGATAAGCTTTCAAGGCAAACATTTATTTATGACCTACTACACCGCTGGCTGAAACCCACAATAAAGATAATTTCAAGGAATTTTTAGTATTTAGGGAAATTCCAAAGACATTTGCATAGATGCTTGCAATTTTTCAAAGTGGAAATGGCTTTTCTTCTGATACTACAAGATTGTTGTAAAAATTTTATAGAGCTATAGAAAACATAGAGGTTCCTGATCAGTCTCACCCTCCTAGAGAGAACACTGTTAACAGCTTGGTACAGATCCTTTCAGAGTTTATAAATACCCACATAAACATGTAAAAAAAAAATTTTTTTAACATAAATGAGACCATAATATGCATACTGTTCTGTAACTGTTCTTTCCTCTCCGAAATATATATATGAGCCTCTTTCTATGTCAATGTATAAGCATCTGTCATTCTATCAGATCCTTGGAAATAAATGGCTACCTGGCATCCCATCTTATGAATATTCATAATTTAATCCAATCCCCAATTGATGGACTTTTAGGTCATTTTCAATCTTTTATTATTATAAACAATAATAAAGAGTGTAATTTTCTTAAGCCAGAGGGCACGGACTCAAAACATTGCATAGACGTAGCAGTTCATTAGCAATGTAATTAAGACAAACCCACCAAGATGCAGCTGCATCTTTTCAAAACATCTTTTTAATAACCTGGGCTTCGGTATTTTGTTAAAGTATGCTTTGTGGGTTTCTCTTAAATTTCTGTTAAATGAAAAAAAAAATATATATATATATGAATGTACTTATGCACATAGACAAGGTCTGGAAAATAACACAGAACACTTATGTAAGATTTGTTAAGTGTGTGGGATTGTAGGTGCTGTTTTCCTTTATGAATTTGTTACTGCTATGTCTTTTAAAGGTACAATCAACTTGAGAAGAAATTTCTCATTTTCCTGCCTTTTGATACACTTATAAAAACACATTTATAAAATCTGCATCTTTCACGATCTAGCCTCTGACCATTTTCTGGCTGGTTCACAGAGCCTCACGACACTGTTGCACTTGCGATATGTCTAATAGTCATTTCTCTAAGCTAAAGATGTGCAAAAATAATGACATTTTAAAACCTCCCCCCAAACAATCTCGATTCGTTTCAACATTTGAGGTCAGAGACACTTAATGAAAAACCATAGAATTTTACATACTGGAAACCACACGTAATTTACTATTCATTTAATAAACAGAAGTGAAAAATATCACTTTGTCCACATGGACTAAATCAGGCACCATTATACACTATTAAAGAAGAAAACTTTCCTCAGTTTCCTACCACGTTATTAGGAACGTGGGGGAAACTCCTTGCAAACTGGACCTGTCGGCCAGGACTTCATATGGGGCTCTACCGTGGTGTCACTCCTTGCTCTGAAGAGTGGCAAGAGCCATGGAAACCTTGTGAGACAAAGCAAACCAATCCCACAGACCCCACTGGATGAGAAGTCCAGCCCTCCTAGCGAAACCCATGCACACACTACTCTGTGCTGGGCATTCTGCTCGTGGCCAAGGACATGAGAGTTAACTAGACAAATAAGGTGCTTGTCTTCATTGGGCTTCCTGACATGGATGGCTTAGAGAGTTTTGTTTTTTCCCCAAAACAGAAATCACCTCCTTCATTTATCTACTTTGGGATTTCACAATTAGAAGAATTCTCTAATATGCTTCAGATACCAAAGGTTCACTGTCCAAGGAAAATAAGAATAAAATGCTCAATTAATACACACTGTAATTATTTAGGCTTTTAGAATGATTTTCACCTGAATTCTAACAAGTTTTAAAATAAAGGGGAAAAAAAAGAAAACTTTTAATCCTTATTATTTGGGGGGGCGGCTACTAAACTGGTCTGTTAAATACAGAAATGAGCCGATGGCCATTTTCCTTTAAATTATGAGCTGAACATCAAAAACCAGAGAGTCATTATGTGACTTTTCTTATCCTAGAGGAGGTATCTCCAAGGGAGAAATCCTGCATTTCCATAAACATGTGTAAGCCAACTTCACAATACTGATTGGAGATCAAAGTGACATTTACCAGAGGCTCTCTTTCAGCTTCCCAAAAGATGAAAATCTAGTCCTATCGGTAACAGTTGCTGAGAAGAAGCAATCTACTGGCTTCTACCTAGTCCCTAGTCTCGGTGTCACCAGAAAACCTGGGCACTCCATACATGGATGGAGAAGACTCCTGCCCACAGTAAATCAAAGAGGCATTACTCCCTGTGTTATCCAAATAAACACTCTAAGCTCTAAGATGAACAAACTGATAGGGACCTGTGAATTAATGTAATGACAAGTAGATTTGTTTTTAATTCCTCATAGATAATGCTGCAATTTCAAGGAGAGCTGCTATCACATTCATATATCACTATCAAAAAGTTTCCATGTTTTTCTGTGGAAAATTTTATCTTCCTCCTCTTATAATGGGGTTGGAAGGAGATAATGAGACGTTAAGAGGGAGGAGGAATGACGTCCAAAGAGTTGAATATGAGGACAGTGTCAATGTTGAAAGAATATATCATAACACTTCTGAATATCTAAGCTGGAAGGAAATGAGGAATGGAGAGGGATTCAATTAATAGCCCACAGGGGATATTATAATCTACTTAGTTTAATTAACTTCAACTTTAATGAGATTTTTTTTTTTTCCAAAATAATATGAACAGCGCACCAAGCTTGGCCTATTGCCAAACACAATCTCTCTCCTTCTTCGAACTCATTAAATGAGAAAGGATACGGGAAAGTCACAGAAACAAAAGTATATAATTGCCAAACTGTGCTAGCCTTCGAAAGTACAGGGGGGCTGCACTGTCGGGTCGACACATTTCAGAGGCGATAGCAACACTTGGCCTTCTCCTTACAGCCTCGGCGGCCGAGAGCTTCTCTCCTCATTTCGAGTCCAGCTCTAGGCCTCTTGCTCAGTTTTTCGGTACCTGATCTCTAGTTCGGTTCCATTCTGAAGTAGTTAATTAGGTGGAAAGTGGCAGATCATTTTTCTAGTCATGATTCTTAGCTCCCTGATGACTTTTTTCCAGTTAGAAATGCGTTAAGAGCGCCAACGGGCTTTAAAAGCAACCCCAAAACTACCTGGTTGAAAGGACTGCTCAAAAAATAAACTTTCGGTTAAATGTTCCTTTATCCTTTTTTCGTCTTCTTCCTTTTGTTGTTCTTTGGCAGATGGGAGAAGAAGAGCCACAACCTCTTTCCTTCCTAAAGCCTTCCTCTGGCTTTGCTCGGAAACTTGAAGGCGGAACTTGTCTTTTACGCCATAGTGACAGGATTGAACATCTCTATGACGAATCACACTGAAAACATTAAAAAATAAATGCTATTTAGGTTTCTGGGGGCCTGTCAAACAGAAGTCAGCCCAAGATTTCATACAGGAGAACATTAACTAACTGTAACCAAATGTTCAAATACAGAAAGTTGCTAATGATGCTTAAAAAAAAAGTCACAGCATAACCGAAAAGGAAATGGGTGATTCTAAAATATTTGATGAAAACACATACTCTACAACGCAGAATAAAAGTCTGAAGTAAAAGAACGATAGGTAAAGAAAATTCCTTTTAGCAAGGACATTTTTCCCCCCTTGAGATCTGTGGGCAGCCACAGTTACTGAATAGGATATATGAAATACTTTCTTCCTCACCAAAGTCTCGTGGGTTTCTACTGCCACTTATTTATTGTGCAAGTAACAAACCTCACCTAGACTCAAAACTGAAAGTCCGTGCACACAGGTAAAAACAAGCAACTAAGTAACCAGTATGACCAATGCAACAGAAGGCTAACAATACACTTCTGTCTTCCTCTGAAAAGAGTATAAAGCACTTGCAATTTTACAAGAGCGATCTACAATTCCATTTATCTTACCTCGTTCTTAATAGAGAACACAAACCAATTAGGTCAAAGATAACACATTTATTTGGCAAGAGACTACATTTCTTTGGAACAGTCCTTGCTTACTGGGTACTGAATGAAAATCAAACGAAACCTGTGAAAACACGTCCTCAAAAGATACATCATTTTATGGATATGGGAGGATGAAAACATATTCAGAAGAAAAAACTTCTGCTTCTCATTCTCATGGAAGGTTTAAACAAATACAGTTTACTCGGTAGCTTAAATTAAGAGCTGGTCAATGGCTCCATCTGGTCTCCACTAGCTCTAAAGTGAAAATTACATATGAACAGCTTGAACAAACAATCATCTATCTGACACTTAATTTCTGACAAAATTATCTGGAAGAACTCAGATAACCTTTTACAGATGAGTAGCTACACACTTGCTTCCTGTTTGTAGAGATTAACTTCCAGGCTTATTAGCTGAATCATTTCAGATGAACTTATATTACCATTGTTCCGTGAATGTAGTATTACTAGTTTCCCAAATGTCACTATAATAGGATGTTCCAAAGAAAGCTAAATTCCATTATAGCTAGGGAAATTTAAAGGAATGAGTTAGAACTTGACCTTCATAAGCGACCCCGCGATAACTACAAGCACAACAATTGAGGAGATGTTCACGGAAATATTAACACACACATCAGCTCCAGCATCGTGAAATATTACTAAGGATTTGGTCGACCTGTTTAGAATCTTAGGGGCTTCTTAAGAATTGTGAGGGATTGGGACGCCTGGGTGGCTCAGTCGGCTAATCATCTGCCTTCCACTCAGGTCATGATCTATCTCAGGGTCTGCTTCTCCCTCTGCCCCCGCCGCAGCCCCCCCCCTCCATGTGCGCTCACTCTCACTCTCAAATGAATAACCTTTAAAAAACAACAAATAAAATTTAAAAAAGAATTGTAAGAGACTACAACTCCCAGTAAAAATTCAAAATGTAATAAATGCCTAAGTGGGAATGGCTTCAAGATGAGATCCTTTTCAAGTTAAACACATAAATATTAACACACTTAAAACATGTTACCAGGAAGGGATTTTGACTTACATATCCACACAACACTGAGGCTTTACTGCACCTGCAGCATCAGCGACAACATACTTATTTGGAGTAGTACACAAAACTGAAAGAAAAAGTCACAATGGCCATTAGTGTTTTTTAAAAATTAGTTTCTACAAGTAAACAATTAGTAGGGACTAGTTACAATCCATAAAAGAGACCTAGGAGACTCACCTTTGAACTTTAAGGCAAACTCATAGGGATTATACAGAGTCAACACTTGCTTATGTGTTGACTGGTCATCTGCATAAAATATTAGCTCCGTGGGAAACACAAAAACAGGAAGATTTCCTTCCACTAACTCTGGCTGTCTTTTTTGTTGATGCATTGGCACTGAATCCCCCTTGCTGCAGCTTCTGTTTTTACAGTCTCAAATCTATTTTGGACTTTTCTTAAGTCAGTTAGTTAAAAACTCCAAAGCATTTTGGCAATCTAGAAAGAGAAGAAGAGAGAAGGAAATCGAATGATACCTGTTTTCATTTGCTGTCCCTCCAACAAAAAGCAATGTTCAGCTTGCATTAAAACAGGTCCCCAAACCATTTAAAGATGCCCTTGGACTTTTCCTCATGGCTTACTTACACAGCTTGTTCCAAACTATGCAAAGAAATTTACACATGCTCCTTTCACACTCAAGATTTCAACCTATGATAAATTACATAAATACTAGAATAAAGAAGTCTTGCTACCTCAAATTAATCACCCTCTTTCAAGGAGGTGAGATCAAAGGGCCATCACTCTTTTTAAAACCTCGGATTTCTTGGGGCGCCTGGGTGGCTCAGTCGTTAAGCATCTGCCTTCAGCTCAGGTCATGATCCCAGCGTCCTGGGATCGAGCCCCGCATCGGGCTCCCTGCTCCGCAGGAAGCCTGCTTCTCCCTCTCCCACTCCCCCCTGCTTGTGTTCCCTCTCTCTGTCAAATACATAAAATCTTTAAAAATAATAAATTAAAAAAATAAAACCTCGGATTTCTTAAGAAGTAGAACAAATTAAGTATTGTCACAACTGATTTTATGTGACCTAATCAGAATTCTCAAAGGCGAAAAAATAAAAAAATTAAGTTTCCATGCGTTATGGGAGAAAAACATGAGACTTACTTTTACACTCGTTTCAACAATGCCTTAGTTAGTGCCTTCTGGCAGCACGGGTGAGAGAGTTCATCTTTTTTTTTTTTACCAAAAACCCAAGACAAGCAAAAATGTCTTGAAAGGAAGCCGAAAATCCAAACTCGTTAAGGAGTCCTTGGGAGTTTTCTATGAAAGTTCAAAGTCAGTCCGTAGGCTCTGGCATTCAAGTGGTTCTGTCAAGTACACAGGCTTCAGGAGAGCCCTTTTCTTCCAACTTAGAGACCTTTTGGATTCCTTGTGGGGTTCTTGAATATGTCCTGAATAGTTGTAGCTAGCAGAAGTCTGTCTGATAGGTGTGATGTTGCTGTTTATTTCCTAATCTCATTTTAATCAACAACATTCTTATTTAGCTAGCATCCTAACAATGTGGCTTCTGAAAATGCAAAAACTAAAACAATACGATCACAGAAAATGTCTGATTTTCACTCTGTAGATGACATCTTTAAAAGAGCCCATAAACCATTTCATACTTTGTGTTCAAGTTCCCACACCTTCAAAGAGCAATATAACACAAGATTAAACTGTTTGGTTTTACCAGCTATCAGGGGCTGGTGTGCCGACTCTGCTTGAGGCCCTTCCAACTTTTATCAAATGAGATACTGTATAATCATGTATGCAAATTTTTATTTTCTTTCAGCTGAACACCTGTTATAAGCCAGGAACTATGTCAGGAGCTGTGCAGAGATACAAAGATGAATAATGCACAGGCCCTGCCCTCAAAAGACTCAAATTGCGGGGCACCTGGGTGGCAGAGTCAGTTGAGTAACCAACTCTTGGTTTTGGCTCAGGTCAAGATCTCATGGTCATGGGATCAAGCCCCGCATCGGGCTCCGTGCTCAGTATGGAGCCCGCTTGAGATGCTCTCTCTCCCTCTCCCCCTGCTTGTGCTCTCTAAATAATAAAATCTTAAAAAAAAAAAAAAAAAAAAAGACTCGGGTGCCTGGGTGGTTCAGTTGGTTGAGCGACTGCCTTCGGCTCAGGTCATGATCCTGGAGTCCTGGGATCGAGTCCCGCATCAGGCTCCCCGCTCAGCAGGGAGTCTGCTTCTCCCCCTGAAGCTCCCCCCTCTCATACTATCTCATTCTCTCTCTCAAATAAAAAAAAAAAAAAAGACTCAAATCTAACGGACAAAACAGTATTTAAGCTACCTCTATTATAATGCATACTACTATATATAAAGTGCTAGGGAATTAGATTACATGAATAATTCTACCTGGAAGAGGGGCAAGGAGAGGGCATTTGAGGTAGTCTCTAAAGAAAACAAAAAAGGCAGGAGCGCCCGGGTGGCTCAGATGGTTAAGCATCTGCCTTCGGCTCAGGACATGATCCCAGGGTCCTGGGATCGAGGCCGAGGACCGCATCGGGCTCCCTGCTCAGCGGGGAGTCTGCTTCTCCCCACCACCCATTCCACCCCCCCCACCCTCGCTCATGCTCGCTTGTGCTCTCTCTCTCAAATAAAATCTTAAAAAAAAAAAAAAAGGCATATACTTCTGTGTTGGGGGGGCACCAGTAGGAAGGGCATTCTGACCTAGGGGACAGCATATGCCAAGGCACAGAAATGTGAAGGTGAGGGACAATGCTGGGAAGGTCATAATCCACAAGCTGTCCCAGATCATCATACTACTTCCTATTACAGCATGCATGTAGCTCATGACAGGGTTGGGTTTGGGGTTTTGTTTTTGTTTTTGTTTTTCCAAAGGGCCTATTTTTTTGAAAGGACCTACTGACATTTTTATTAGTAATACCATGTAATATGTGTATCATTCATAACCGATTACAAACTTTTTATTAATTACATATACTGAATTAATTAAGACATGCAACGCTTTTAGCACTTACTGTAGGCCAGGCAATGTTCTAAGTGTTTGCTGTTGTTATTAAATTAGGAAGAGACAGAGACAGATACTGTCGGCAGGCCTCCCGCCTACAGTTCAGCATTTCCACTCCAGCTAACTAACTCTCCATTGTAATACAATAAAACTAAGATTATTCTGAACAGCATCCGATGAAATCATTCTAATTTTGAGTTTTTATTTGCCACATATTTCTTTCTTTTGCTAAGGGCCATACACATTTCTATTTGGATAATGTGCTCTCAGAAGTTTGGTATATTTTTTCCAACAGAAAATAATTAGCTCTATTACTTTCTTAGTTAGCTTGGCTATCAGAAACACAACATCCGAGTTTGCCATCACTAAATAGTATTCAACATCTCATTCTAAAACGTTGTTAGGATGAGAATTTAGGGGCACCTGGGTGGCTCAGTCGGTTAAGCGTCTGCCTTCGGCTCAGGTCATGATCCCAGGGTCCTGGGATCGAGCCCTGCATCAGGCTCCCTGCTCAGCTTCTCCCTCTTCCTCTGATCCTCCTCCCCGCTTGTCCTCTCTCAAATAAATAAATAAAATCTTAAAAAAAAAAAAAGGATGAGAATTTAGCTTAGGATAAAAAGGTGGCATGGTGGGGCACCTGGGTGGCTCAGATGGTTAAGCGTCTGCCTTCGGCTCAGGTCATGATCCCAGGGTCCTGGGATTGAGCCCCACGTCGGGCTCCTGCTCAGTGGGGGGCCTGCTTCTCCCCCTGCTCACATTCTCTATCTCTGTCTTCAATGAATAAATTATCTTAAAAAAATAATAATAATAATAAATGTGGCATAGCATCTCTGATTTCTGGAAAACAGTTTAGTCAATAAATGTTGGTAAAACCGGGTATCCACCTGGGGGGGGGAAGTTGAATTTATCCCTTATTCCTTACAAAATTCCAAAACTTTATCAGGGTAAATTCAAATGGATCCAAGTTTTAAATGTAGAAAAAGAAAACCGTAAAACACTAGAAACCATGGGAAATCTTTTTTTCTTTTCTAATCTGAGGCTTTCTAGCAACCAGAAACCAAAAAATATGGATAAATTCAACTATCAAAAAACTCTTAAAACGCTGCATGGCAAAAAAAAAAAAAAAGTCTACGCAAAGCCAAAGGAACTTTTTCAGTCATAGGCCAGGTCTGATTTCCCTACTAGATGTAGAGGAAATACCAATTATTATGAAAAAGCACTCACCATAAAAATGAGCAAATGCTACAATATTTTACAGAAAAGGACCAACTGTTTTTAAACTTCCCAGGGGAGGTAGAACCTCACTCACAAGAGAAATACAAACTAAAGCTACACCGAAATACACGTTATTACTTGCCAGGCTGGCGAAAGGCAACAAGTTTGATAGCACGGAGCATCCAGGCATGTTCCTAACGTTGCTGACAGGGATATAAACTGACACATGGACTCTACCTGCCACAGGTAAACACACACGTCCTCCGACCTAGAGATTCTACTTCTAGGAATTCAGCCGGCATAAATATTCTTGTGCGAAACCACATATGTGGAAGTGTTTTAATCCTCAGTACTGAGGAGTAAATAAAATGATTTATGGGAGGCACACAGAACAAAGCTTGGCACTCAACAAGGGTTAGCTGTTGTTGTCAATAGTCAAAGATGGAAACAGCCCAACTGTCCCTTGGGGGGGGTGGTCATGAGATAAAGTATGATACAGCCATTTGCTGGGAGGCTCAGAAGCCGCCAAGAAGAAAGAGGAAGCCCTCTGTGTCGTGGAGGTACGGACTGACCGTCAAGTGCAGTGTTAAGTGAGAAAAGCAAGGTAAAATGCAGAGTAGAGAGTGTGCCACCATCTGTGTGGGAGAGGGAAGTTTCCCCGCTCTGGGTTAAAGATCTTTGGAAGGATAGCCAGGGCTGCCCCTGGAGAAACTACCTGAGCAGCTAGGGACAGGGGTGGATACCTTTTTCCATCTTCTATCTTTTGAATTCTGAACCGTATGAACACCTATTCAAAAGTTTGCGCGCGCGCGCGTGTGTTTAAGTCAAATTAAACAACAACTCCTCCAGGGCCTAATTCGGAAAAGGTGCCAGTTTTGAAACTAAAGAAGGAATTTAGAAACAATGTGTGAAAAATCTGTTAATTGCATTTGCCAATTCATGATCCTTTAATAAGATGGAGAGCCTTAAACAATGTGTTAAATGTCATGATTTCAATTCTTTAAAATCATTTTAGATGCAACAAAAGCTCATTCCAGTGAGAAAAAGCTTTAAGAGGGCTTGCAAACTGAGGGAAATGTGCAACTTTTTGTTATAAAGGAGTATGACACGGTTTATAAATCTGACTGGGAAGTCAAAAGTAACCACACAGAACAAGCACTAAACTCTTCCAACCTTAAGGGGAAGTTCGTTGGCACAAGTCAGAGTAGAAATTTCGCTAGCTTTACATAATGGTTTAGTAGAATTCTTATTCTTTTCATTTTGAA